TAACAACAACAACAACAACAAATGAACAATGATCATTAGTTTCTCTTTAGGGATTCACAAGTATCTCTTCAGGGATTTGTTGGTCACCTGAATATCTTCTATGGTGAAGTGTCTGTTCATGTCATTTGTCCATTTTTTACTATAGTATTTGTCTTTTTGTTGTTGAGGTGTTGGAGTTTTCTATACATTTTAGATTAGATGCTTGTCAGAGATGTTGCTAGTAAAATTTTTCCCCAGTATATGGGTTCTCTTTCTTGTCTCATTTATCTTCCGCTACTTGTGTATTTTTAAGTTATTTTTGATAGTCTAATTGTATCATAAATTAGAGCCCCTACATTTGCCATTATTTTCCCTTCTATGAACTCTATAGATTTAGATTTTATATTTAGGTCTTTTTTTCATTTAGATTTTACATTTTAGGTCTTGAGTTAGTTTCTGTGTAGGTGTGAGATATGGATCTTGATATATAGATTTGTGCAAATCTATTTGCTAAGGAGACTAATCTCTTCCCCTAATTACTGGATTCTGACACTATTGATCCATCCATATGTGAATGGATTTACTTAGTGGGTTCTCAATTCTGTACCATTGGTTTGTGTCCATTGTTACATGTATTGATGTTTTTTATTTACTTTTTGACACACAAAGTCTTTCTCACCGCATTTGACTATCTATTCATGCTTTCTAAGCACAATTACAAATTTTGTGTAATTATAGGTGGCCTTTCTGATAAAAATTTAAGGACCATACAAAGATTAGTTCTCAAAATACAGATATCTCATGGATTAATAACTTTGTGCTATTTTCATGAAGATGCCTAGGATGCTTACTAAATCCTATTTAATGACAAAAGCAAAAAAGGAAATTTTAGGACTACTTGAATAAAACTAATTTCATCTCTATAAAAGAAGTTCTTTTCCAATCCAGCTATCATCAAGCCTCTGCTCTGGAAATTCTCCTTTGGGAATGTTGGTACCTAAAAGTATTTATTATATTTCTAAAGAAAGTAAACATATGTTTAAAGATGTTATAGGTTTCTAAGATGTAAACACACCAGGAGCCCTGGTGGCACAGTGGTTAAAAGTGTTCAACTGCTAACCAAAAAGTTGGTGGTTCATACTCATCAGCTGCTCCATGGGAGAACAATGTAGTAGTTTATATCCACAAAGATTACAGCCTTAGAAACCCTATGGGGCAGTTCTACTCTTTTCTATTCTACTATGAGCCAGAATAGACTTGCTAGCAATAAGTTTGGTTTTTGGAAAGATCAAAAACATAGAAAAGAGAACAAAAAATTTAAAGAGAACTACTTTACACAAGGGGTTATAAACAATATGATTTGCTCAAATATAATACAGGCTATATTGCTTCTGTTGCTGTTATTAAGAGCCATCGAGTCGGTTCCAACTCATAGCGACCTGTATAGCATTTGTGAGGAGCAGCTGGTGAGTATGAAATGCTGACCTTGCAGTCCAGTGCATTGTCCTACAGTGCCACACCAGGACTCCAATACAATATATATAAATCCAATAGAGGGGCAATACAGAACTTAAAGCAGTTACTAAGGGAAGTTTGCAATGACTGAATTGCATCTGTAGATTTCCAAATTCTGGCTGTTAAAAATGTTAGTAGACCTGGAAAGGAGGAGAAATAAGGAACCTCTGTAGTCAAGACCCTACAAATAGTGTGTTACTTAACTAAGTTCAAGAACGTTTACTGAAGGCATGTTTTGTACAAAGCACTGTCTTAGGCCCTGGAGCAACAGATTCTGCTTTCAGTCAGTATTAAATCTTCAAGAACACAAAGTAGTGAAGTGTCAGGCTATTAACAGAGTCTATTTCTCAAGAGGCTTAAATCAGGAAACTATAATTTTCCAAAAGGTTAAAACAACCTCTTTCCATATTTATCACAGCTATTAACAAACAAGACTACAGTGCTTGATTTTGGCACACTTACAGCACTAGTACTACTCAGTACAGTCCACTGTACTCCACATGCAAAGTGTCTGATAATAGTCAACTAATCGACAACAAATCCCTATAACTTAGGGCCAATGTTTTCTCAATTGTTCAGGTGAGGCAACACTGATACACAGATTATAAATCAATGTATTCTAAACCTAGTCCATGAAACTAACAGGTAACATTTCAAAATTCTATTAAAATGAAACAAGAAATTAATTACAACTGTTCCTTTTTTTTTTTTAAACATAGTTTGTATCTGCATTAGGATTACAAATTAATTACTTATGTGAACCTAAAGGATCAACTTGCAATACCATGCAGGGAAACAAAAGAAACTCTGCAAAAGGATATACACACTGCGCCTGATTAGTTATTGCTTTATAATCACAATTCTGTATGACTAGACAATGCTTCTACTTACCATGAAAAATGGAGAGAAATCTGCATTTTAGTGAATGTTCAAAATACACTATTACCAGTATAAAGCAATAGTGTCCAATTCACATTAATAATAAATATGGGAAGAAAATAATTCAAATTGTCTTTATATTTAAAAGGTTTTCTCATTTGTTTAATAACTCATTCTTATCTATCTATTGAAAGGCATCTCTCTGTGGTCACATTCTGTTCTCCCCTATTTTACAATAGAATAAATAGTTCACTAGATGTAACCTCAGTTATATATCATTCTGCCTGGTGATGCCAGTTGTCAGTCTGCTGGTTTAGGGGACAGAATAATTTGCGAATAGAACAAAGATATTTCAATGGCATTTCTAGAATTTATGTGTTGGCACAGCATTTTATAACTCAGGCAGAAAAACAAAGAACATTTAAAATCTATTAAAAGAGAAGCATATGCATGTGTAAGAATCAAAAAATTAAATTACAAACCTTCCTGAGAAGACACAATGGGTGGCATGTAATCAGGAATGTATTCTTTCCTTTCTTCTGCATCTTTACTTCCAGGTTGAGGAAACTGAAGTACATTGTTCTTGCTAACAGGAAATGAAGGAATTTGATGTGGGAAAGTGACAGGTTCAATATTGTGAATATAGTCTTCTAGTTCATGAAGATTAACCCCCATCAACTGAAAAGCTTCACTAACATCATCCAAAATTGGGTCTGTTCGGCCATCTGAAACAAAGTCAAAAGCAAATAAAATCATTTTAAGGAAAACTCAATGATTTTTTTAAATACTAAGAAAAAATACGAAGTAATTCAGAAGCTCAGAATCAAATATACTATATATGTAAGACTGAATTATTGGAAAAGAGTCCTGGTGTGGCACTATAGGATAAGCACTAGACCACAAGGTCAGTTTGAATCACAAGGTTGGCAGTTCAAGCTCACCAGCTGCTCATTGGATACATTACTGAATCACTGAATCGGAACTGACTTTATGGCACATAAGAACAACAACATCAAATGATTTGAAAACAATATATTTTAAACAGTACATCATATTATTTAAATCAGTTGAAAAGGTGATTCTTAAAGTCAATTTTAAATATGACATTACAACAAATGAGTAAAAAAACTGACAATTCACACTATAAGTCAACTAGTTTAGAACAAATATCAAAAGTAGTTTATAACAGTCAAAAGCATCTGGAACAGTGGACGACACACAATAAATCCTCAATAAACATTACTGTCACTATTTTGACCATCAAGTAACTCGAATGCTCTGTTGACTGTGTACCGTTATATTTTCTCTATTTAGGCCACCTAAAACAGTGACTGACATATAGGTGACTGACATTCAATAAACGCTTATGCACTATACCATCTAATCAATTTTTAAATCCAAGAAAATTTACAAGACAGGACCTTACACCATAAAGGAAATTTACATATAAAGATTAAAATGTCATTAGAAAACAGCATATAAAATGGGTAGAGTGGTATGGTGTTAATTGTTGTTAAGTGCCATTGAGTTGATTCCGACTTACAGTAACCCTATATAGTGTTTCCAAGGAGAGGCTGGTGGGTTTGAACTGCTTATCCTGTGGTTAGATGTCCAGTACTTATTTTACAACCCAGACAAAATGCTAGATATGGTGGCATTTTCTTTCCAAAAGGGACTTTTTTAAATATTCCTATTCTTGACTCCCATCAGTCTGGAGTCCTGGTGTGGCACTGTGGGTTAATGAGCTGAGCTGCAAGCTCAATTTGAGCCGCAAGATCGAAGGTTCAATCTCACCAGCCACTCCTTGGAAACCCTATACAGGGCCGCTATGGGTCAGAACCAATTCGATGGCACTTAGCAACAATTCTTAGCAGGTTTTTATGTCTTTTAGTAAAGCATCTCATTTAAATTCCAAGGAGCACTGGTGGCACAGTGGTTAAGCACGTGACTGCTAACTCAGAGGTCACTGGTTTGAACCCACCAGACACCCTAAGGGAGAAAGATATGACAGTCTCTCCTGTACAGAGTACAGTGCTGAAAAACCTGTGAGGCAATTCTACTCTTTTTCCTATATGGTCATCCTGAGTTGGAATCAACTCAATGTTAATGGGTTTGGTTTGGGTTTGGAACTGGCTCAACGGTTCTTAACAACAGCAACAACAACAAAGGATTTTTTTTTTCTTTTACTGAAACACCAATGGTCATATCCAATTCAGTATACCCAAAATTAAATTATATTGTAGAATTTAAGAAAATTCCAAATTTTATAAAAAGATACAGACATGTGTTCATATGCACATAGAAAAGTTCAGAAAGAAGAAACTTGCACTTCTAACTCTAAATACTTCCGTAGTCTTTCAATGTTTCTATAAGTATGGACTACTTCTATAATATATGTTGTTGCTGTTGTTAAAAGTGCCATCAAGTTGGTTCTGACTCATAGTGACCCTGTATAGGGTTTCCAAGGAGTACTTGTGGGTTTGAACTGCCAACCTTGTAGTTACCAAACCAGTGTTTATCCCATAGCGCCTCACAAGGACTCCTCTATAATGTGGTGTTGTTGTTATTGTTAAGTGCTGTCAAGTTGGTTCTGACTCACAGTGACCCTGTATAGGGTTTCTGAGGAGCAGCTGGTGGTTTTCAACTGCCGACCTTGTGTTGATCCTACAGCGCCACACCAGAAGTCCCTATAATGTGTAAGAAGGCAAAAAATAAATAAAAGAAAAGCAAAACATTCTTCCTCTTACTGACATAATGTCCATTCAATTCTTCTTTCCCTGTTATGGAGTCCTGGTGTAGTACTGTAGGATAAGTATTGGACTGCCAACCACAAGGTCGGTGGCCCAAACCCACTAGCTGCTCCTCAGAAATCCTACTCAGGGTCACTATAAGTTGGAACCAACTTGAGGACACTTAACAAAAACATTCCTATTCTGTCAAAAAACCCACAAAAAACCCAATATGACAGAGTCAATGCTGACTCACAATGATCTTATATATAGGGTTTCTGGGGCTCCTGGTATGGTGTCACAGGATACACACTAGACTGCTAACCATAAGGTCAGCAGTTCAAACCCACCAGCTGTTCTTTGGAAACCCTACACAGGGTTGCTGAGTCACAACCTACTCAATAGCACTTAACAGCAACAACAATAACATAGGGTTTCTGAGGCTGTAAATCTTCATAGGAGCAGACAACCACATCTTTATCCCAAGGAGTGGCTGGTAATCCATCTAATCCACAGCACCACCAGGGCTCTTTATCCCTATTACTTGTTGTTCTTATTAAGTGTCGTCAAGGAAGTTCCAACCCATAGAGACCCTGGATAGGGTTTCCAAGGAGCAACTGGTGAATTTGAACTGCCAACTTTGTGGTTAAAACCAACTGTACAGTACAGTACTTATCCTACAGCACCACTCCAGTGCCTCAAAATAGCTCTGGTGGTGGTGGTAGCTATGGCCGTGGAGTCGGTTCCGACGCATAGTGACCCTGCATAGGGTTTCCAAGGCTGTAAATCTTTACAGAAGCAGAAAGTCTCATCTCTTTCTCATGGAACCGCTGGTAGTTTCAAATTGCTGACCTTGAGGTTAGCAGCCCAACTCATAACCACTACACTACCAGAGCTCCTTTATCCCTATTATAGTCATTCTTTATTTTCTCTGTCTAAAAGAATACAATCATCTTTACTTCCTTCTCAACTTTGCAATCTCAATCCAAAAGCTCCTCAGACTTTTTCTCCCCACGTTGCCATGTATTTGAGAATTTTTTTCTTTCTCTCCACTCCTTCTATCACTATCTCAGTATAGTTACAAGTCCTCTTCACTTGAATCTCACTTGTACTTCACTGTCACAGAATTTCCTGTATTTGTTGCTGTTGCTTTTAAATGTAGTCAAGTTGGTTCTGACTCGTAGCAATCCTGTATAGGGTTTCCGAGGAACAGCTGGTGGGTTTGAACTGCCAACCTTGTGGTCCAGTGTTGATCCTACAGTGCCATACCAGGAGTTCCTCAATGTTTTCCTACTACTAGACCACGACTTGTTGCTGTTGTGTGCCGTGGAGTCGGTTCCGACTCATAGCGACCCTGTACAGGGTTTCCAAGGCTGTGAATCTTTACGGGAACAAAAAGCCTCATCTTTCTCCCGCGGAACAGCTGGTAGTTTCAAACTGCTGACCTTGAGGTTCGCAGCTTGATTTGTAACCACTATGCTAGCCTATAAAACGTGGTAAAATGATTCTTGCCTTCCACACAGAACAAGGTTCCTTCCTGGCCAACACACCTCAAGTGCAGTCACCATCTGTTTGTCCGTGGAGGCTGGCATACTGCTATAATGCTAAACAGGTTTCAGCAGAGGTTTTAGACTAAGACTAGGAAGAAGACCTGATGATCTACCTCCAAAAATGAATCACGCTGCTCCGATCCACAACCAATCCAAAGAGACAGCACAGGACTGGGCAGTCTGAGTCAGGGGCTCACTAGACAGCAGCTAATAACCACCACCATCACATGTTATATGTAAGTCCCTTGTCTAGCTTTTAAGTCCTGTCTAACTTTTTCTTTTACTTCTCTTTACATACAATGACTATATCTGTCAAGCTGGTCACCTTCCTGATGCTCTTATCATGGTTAAACCCAACTTTTATATCTTAGTGTACACTATTCTCTAACCTGTACTACCTTCCACCTTTATACAGTACTTTATAGTTTCTGCTCTTCTATGATTTCACCTTACCCTGGAATTCTAGTCCACAACTGTCTGTGCTTTATCATATTCCTTTTGCATTTATAGTCTATATAATTAAAGTATTAAGTTATAGTACTAATTCCAAAGTCATCCTGAAAGATTTAGCACCTCTTCTCAATACATGTGCCCATATTTATTAACAATGCAACATATATATAAATATCTATCCCTGAGTACTTGGAGAAATATTACCTTAGAGATAAATTCATTATTTATTGAATTAATAATCACTTCCAATTATTACTCTCAGTAATCACTTGGGCAAAAATTTTTTAAAGGAACAAATACCATCAGTTTGTGTCTACTGACAAACTGTCACCTTTGAATACATCTTATGAGTAGGTACTGCATCTTAGTAACTTGTACGTCCCCAACGCCTAATCTAGTGCTTAGCTTGCAATTGGTGCTCAATTACTGAAAAATAGAAAGAATCTAAAGGAGTAGAATAAAAGACTACATCGTGGTAACCTGAGTTTACAACATTTGATTATGAAATAATGATAGTGTAAAAAAGGAACCCAAGGAGAGGGACTAAGCTGACAGCCAGAAGGCAGACTTGCAGAATGTGCCCTTTGGTGGTGTAAATTACTATATATGCCTGAGTGTTTAAAAAAAAAAAAAGGGAGCTAAAATGAATAGACAGAAGTACTGTTAAGTGATGGTACATGGAGTGGATTGTAATCATTGTAATGAAACAAGGTGTATGATTTGTTGAATGTAAAACTGATGATCTGCCCTGTAAACCATTCACTCAACTCACAATAAAAATATTTAAAAAAAAAAAAAAAAAGGAACTCAAGAAAATGTTTGTAATTAACTATACCAGGAATTAGCATAAAAAAGAGTCACCAAATCACGAAGGGAAATAATTAACATGATAACTGAATTTCACTATAACCAAGAAAATTGAGCATAGAAATAGAGTAATTAAGGAAGAGGTTCACAATAATGTATAACAATGATCATTTGTCTACAGAGAGTGACAGTGTATGTACTGGTCTGGAGACCTGGTGTGGAGCTGTAGGATAAACACTAGACTGCTAACTGCAAGATCGGCTATTCAAACCCTACACAGGGTCTCTATGAGTTGGAACTGACTTGACAGCACTTAACAACATACAAGGCAGGAAAGGGTAACAATGTATTCAGGGAACAATTTTATTACCTAAAGACTCAGAACATCTGTCCTTTTTAAAGAACTTGGTAGCAATTGTAATTTGGACTACACATAACCTTTAACAGTAAAAAGAGGGAGAGAGAGCAAAGGCCAAGAGAGTGCTATGCTGCTAGTGTACTACTTGCCAGGTAACAATGAATCAGAGTTACTTCTTATCTAAACTTGGAACTGCAAAGTATCAGTGAAATCAACAATAAACAAAAGTATACATTTCTGGTAAGGTCAATAGCTACTATAGTATTAAACAAATATTTGCTTGTTGGTGTTGTTAAGTGCCATCAAATCGGTTCTGACCCATAACGACTCTGTATAGGGTGTCTGAGGAGCGGCTAGGGGCTTGAAGCGCCAAGCTTGTGGTTTAAACCGACTTTGCTGTCCAAAGTATTAACCTGCAGCGTCCATATTATGTTATAGAACCATACTAGGCAACAGAATACAAATATAAGAAACAGAGTTCCATGGTCTCCTAGGGAAGGGGAAAGTGGTAGAAAGGATGAATGATAAACACACATAATTACAAAACAAGGTAATATATAATAGAAATACACATGGAATTACAAGAGCAAGTAACACAAGTTCTAGGAAGCATTTTAAGAAAGCAAAATATCCTATGAAATACTTCATCCAGTTTTTCAACTTGCCATTACAAAAGTCATTCATTTAAATGAGTGGTAGTGCCCCTTCCCACCCCACCCCCCCACACACACTTAACATCAGTGAGATGTTTAACTTTTGTCAAACATTTCAAATTACGAGGTATAAGTACTATCAAACATTCACTTAGAAACCATGAATATTGTAGCCCACACTACTTAGAGAACCTCTGCAAACTGCTGTGATCCCTATATCACACTTCGATAACTACAAATACAGAAATATAAAGGGAGAAATCAATGGGTGGCTGAGGTGAAAAAATCAATGGGTGGCTGAAAGTTAAAATCAGTGAAACTGACAAAGCTGAGTCGGGGAAACAGTGAGCACAGATGCTGTTTATGAAATACACAGATACAGAAAGAAAAGGCAGAGTCCCTGACTGAGCTGTCAATGAGTGTGTTATGAGCTAAAGAATAACCAGTCTTGTAAGAAACGGCCGGTAGACGGAGCGCCGGTGACAACTAGTTGTAGTAGTTTGCCGGCAAGGAAGAAAAAGGACCAAGGTAAGAGAGGGTATAAGACATTCTAGGGATGATTCTACATGCACCAAAAATGAGACAATGGCCAAAACTGATGCACATGTCAAAACAGAGAAGAGATACAAGGGTATGGAACTGGGAGTGGGGACAAGGCTCCAAGGCTGGTGGCGGGAAGTTAGCGGATGAGGAAGAGGCACTAAAGGGATGACTAGAGTTTCAAAGGTGAGCGGACGCGACGGAGCGTCAGGGGCTGAGAAGACACCAAACTTTGGTGCAGGGATGAAGAACTGAAAACTCAATGATGAGATAGAGCAGGGGAGACTGAAGGTGTCACTCGTGACTTATCAGAGGCAACCCTCCCTTACCCAGCCCGGTACTCACAGAGCTCAGAGTACCGATGGCAGCCCCGTCCCAACTGCTGCAGATAGCGTTGCAGCACGTCCGTGAGGAGGTGGCAGGCGCTGAGTTGCACCGAGTCCCAGCCCAGCGCCTGGCAGATCTGCGCCACCGAGACCCTCAACAACGATCTGGAGTAACTCTCGCACATCCCGTTCCGTTGACTCCACTGCAGCCCTTGCTGCCACTTCTCTCCAGCCCCACCGCCTAACCTTAACACAGCCCCCGATTCATCCTCCAGGGCCCCCGTGGCGGGGAAATCGTCCCCCCCGAGCCCTGCCGACCACCTCAAAACCTCAGCAACACAGAGCGCGCCAGCCTGAGAATCGCCATTTTGGATTCGCCCCGCCTCCTGTTGGACTGTCGCCTGGGCGAGACAGCACTAAAAGAATACTGATCGCATCAATAAGAAAGCGCTCCGCCCCATTTGAACGGATCGATTGTCTTGGTATCGACTCCTAAGCCTAGATCTCAGCAGGAAACGGCTGGAAAGTCAGGCGATTGAGGCATTCATAGTGGGACTCTCGCGTGGAAAAGGTAGAGGGAGACGGTAGACCTATAGGCAGAAGAGGGAGCTGGAAAAAAAAAAAATCTAAATGAAGGTTTTAGAGAGAACTGGGAATCTGAGAAGCTGTAAGTACGGAAATGGAGCTTGGGAAAGAAACTTAAATAGTGAAAACACGGTTCTGATATTTTTTCCTTCTGCTCAAAGAAGTTGAGCTCCTTATTATAGCATAAAGTCCGGACTGTTGAGCATGTCATTCAAAGCCCTTAACCAGAGGGCCGGAGCTAGGAAAAGAAATGCATAATATAAGAGGACAACAGAAAAGTCAGTAATCAAGATTAATATTTTAATATTTAATATACAGTATTTTAAATCCATTGTAACTCCAGAAAAAAATTTTTCATGATTAACAAAGTGCCAACATTTTTAATAAAGACAATAACCTATCCCGCTTTTCCAAGTAGACTCTGTCTCACTCACCTCACCCTAAACCCAGTCCTGGTTCCAGTCCATTTTATTTAAAAAACACAGGCGGCCTGCTATTGGGCCAAAGTTACTGAATTGCCCACCTCTAGGAGGCCTGGTGTGTTGCTGTAAGGTAAGCACTCGACCGCACAGTCGATTTGAACCGCAAGGTACACAGTTCAAACCCACTAGTCGCGCTTTGGAAACCCTAGACAGGCACTTAACAACAGGCCACTACTATCTGGTTCCTTTGACAGATCAGTGGCTTCTTGTTACATACTGTGAAGTCGGTTTCCGAAGAGCAGCTGGTAAGGTTGAACTGTCGAATTTAGGGTTCGCAGTCCAGTGCTGATCCTACAGCGCCACACCAGAAGTTACTGGGATAAATATGATGATTTCTAAATATTGGGAACACATTCTTAAATTTTTATTTGCAAGTTAAACCTGTTTGAAGGGGGTGAGGCTCAAGTTTCTTGCGTGTTAGCCTGTCTCTTCCTCCCATCTGTCTGTTAGCTTCTCTATACTTAGGCCTGTCACAGTGCATTTACTAGTTTGTATCAGCCACAATAAATTGTGAGTTTCTGAGTGGCTCTATATGCCTCTTACAAGGACTGTTTCAGAACTTTTGAACATAAAAGGTTTTAAACTTTTTTTAAAAACTAAACAAAAATATGCCACTTTGTCATATATAAGCAATCTGCAGAGAAGTAAGGTGCTAGGTGGTTGTTGTTAGTTGTTGTTAAGTGCCATCGAGGCAATTCCAGCCCATAGTGACCCTTTATAGGGTTTCCAAGGAACAGCTGGTGAGTTTGAACCACCAACCTTGCAATTCAAATGGCTGTGCTGTCTGATACATTTGCCTACAGTGCCACACCAGGACTCTCTGTGCTAGGTGATGATGGTGGTGGTTATGTGCTGTGGAGTCGGTTCCAACTCATAGAGACCCTGTACAGGGTTTCCAAGGCTGTAAATCTTTACAGGAGCAGAAAGCCTCATTGTTCTCCCGCGGAACAGCTGGTAGTTTTGAACTGCTGACCTTGCGGTTCACAGTCCGATTCATAACCACTACGCTACCAGAGGCACCTATAATATTTAATCCACTAACACTTTTGTCCCAAAATTATTAGACTTTTTAAATACTTAAATCTACAGAACAATTTTCAGTCCTAACCTTAATTTAACCATTTTGTATTCATTTGATAAAGTTGAACACTGTCTCAATTTTGAAACCATCTTGTACCTTGGATTTCACAATACTCTGGTTTTCCTTCCAATACTTCCAGAGGCTTCTTTTAAATCTGTATAACGGTCTCCTCATTTGCCTATGTGTTTTGTGTGTGTGGTGGTGGTGGTGTTTTTTAAACCCTTCAGCCTTCTATTTTGTAAATTTTCAAATCTATAGAAAAGTTGAAACAGAAAATTTCATTTTTCCATAAGCTTTTGAAGCCCTCCCCATGTATATACACATATATACACATACACATTTTTTCTAGAACAGTTTGAAAATGAGTTCCAAACATGATTCTTAAACCCTAAATACTTCAGAATTTATAATTCCCCAACCAAGGGCATTCTCTTAACATAACTGGACATATAACCATATGTCACAGGTTCAGTTCCCTAGGAAGCCAATTCTGAGATGGATACTAAGCTGGAGAGGATTTATTAAGGAGTGCTTCCAGGATCACTACATTGTCAGAAAGAAGAAAAGGAAGCTGAATTGGAACCAAGCATTTTATAAAGTCATTGATTTAAATGCCAGGAGAATTGTGTCCTAACATCTCTAGATACTATCTCTGAGCTGATACCTTAGCTGTGCCTTTCCATTGCTCTACCAGGCTAACAGTTTTTAAGTGGTACAGTTTATTATATGACCAGAGAGAGGATTCATGTCATGTGTCCACTTCCACATCTCCTTTGTTATAAAATGGATACCTTGACCTGACACAACATGATCAGGGACACCAGTGAATCCAACACTATGAGCAGAAAAGGCAAATCCATACCTACAATATGTGTATTCTTATGAAAACAAATGACTGCCCATTGTAGGATGAAAGGGACCCAATTCAGACAACTTTGCCCACAAGGGCTAGTTGATCTCCTTGGAGAGTCAACATTGGTTTTTGTAGCAGGCAGGTTGGTTACACATTGCTCATAACTGTCCAATGAGAGGAATTACCTTCTGCTCTTTCAGGTCCACATGGAGAGAGACTGTAGTGCAGTGGAGGTCCATTTTTAACTCACATCCACATCCAATTTACCCATGGACTAAGCTTGCCTTTTGTCCTCCCTGACAGCTGGTCCTAAGAAATCCCATGCAGCCATAGGCCTGAGGTGAGGGAGAGGTGCTGGCCCATGGTGGTAAATGACATCAGCATCTGGTTTGCCTTCTCTGGCAGGCTGCAGGGACCCTCCTTGGACTCTATGCATGGTAAATCCTGGATGTACCACTGTTGTTGGATGGTGAACTGCTGCTCGGCTCTCTAGACTTTTTGACTTGGTGGAGCTGACAGAACCCAGTTCCTGGGCAGTCTGGCTTCTTCACAGTTATCTGGTGTCCTACAATCAGGGATTCCATTTATCATCTAGCCTTACTCTAACATGGAACCTATGATGCCTCCTCACATCTCTGGTGTCAGTCTCAACTCAGACCATGTCTTTATCAGTCCTAAGCACGTTCTAATGTGGCAATGTAGGATAAGCACGGACTGCTAACCACAAGGTCAGCTGGTCAAACCTACCAGCTGTGTGTCAGAAACCTTATACAAGGTCACTGTGAGTTGGAACAGACTCAACAGCACTTAAGAGCAACAACAAAGGTCAGACATTCCTTTTCACTCCTGGATGGTCACTGGTGGATATTTACCTAAGTAAATAAATAGCTGTTGATGCCTTTGCAGAAGTGGAGGAATCATTATCCTATACATTTGGTTTCTCAGGTTCTTCCTGAAGACCTGACCTTTCTTCAGTCAGTAGATTTTGGGTCTATAAACTGGCTCAGATTCTGAGCAAGAGTGTATAAGTTGACTCAGAATCTGACTGGTTATTGGGTCAGCTTGCCCTCAGTCACCTAATTACCCACTATGAATTATTCAGATTGTACAGAACAAGGATACTTGGTTACCCAGTTATTTTGGCTGCTCATCTGTTTTGAACTTGGGGTCCCTTGTTCTGTTAGCCACCTCTACAGTACTCCAGGTTAGCCCACCATCCTCATGGTAATTGCATCCATCTGAGATCTAATTGCTAAGCAGTTAAGCCTCTATTAGTTTAAGGTCCTATCATTTCCATATAAGGAGCCCTCGTGGTGCAGAGATTTAAACATTAGGCTGTAAGCCCAAAAAGTTGTCCATTGGAACCCAACAATCATTCCAAGGGAGAAAGATGAGCTGTCTGCTCCCATAAAAAATTTACAGTCTCGGAAACCCTGAGTCACTGTGAATTTAGTTAGGATCATCCCCATAAAGATCACTGGTGGTATAGTGGTTAAATGTTAAGCTGCTAACTGAGAGGTTTGAACCCACCAGGCACTCTGCAGAAGAAAGATGTGGCAGTCTGCTCCGGTAAAGATTTACAATCTTGGAAACTCTGGGGACAGTCCTACTCTGTCCTATAGGGTTGTTATGAGTCAGAATCCATTCAAACGCAGTGCCTTCGGTTGGCTTTGGATCATCCATCCCTATAGTTCTCAAATATACAAGGCATTACTAAATTTAACAGCTAGTGCATTTCTTTTCACTGCCATGTCACCCCAGTTCACCACTGATGAAAGTTTTACAACTTACACATTCCAGAGCTACTACTACCTGTACCGGGGACTTTTTGTGCTCCATGCAGTGGTGAGATGAAGATCTTTTCTAGACAAGTAGTGGATGACCTAACCTCAAAATCGCATCTTTAGTATTTGCTTGCTCAGATACTTACTTGCTTGCTCAGATACTTACAGTTCAAACTGTCACAAGTTGGATATCCTAGAAAACAGTGCTGAGATGGAAAATCTAGGAACTACTGCCAAATAGGTGTATCATACAAAGCTCTAAAGAACAAAATTTTATAGTTACAATGTTTCCTTATAAAAAGGTCTCTTTTAAACTTTACCTTTCACTCTGATGTTTTAGAACCAGTCTTCAAAAAAGAAAACACTGACCGCGCATATTATTTAAAAAAAAAAAAAAAAAAAAAAATGTTTGTGAAAAACTATTTGATGTGCTCATACAAAAAAAAAAAAAAAAAAAAAAAAAAGAACCATAGGACAGCCTCCCAGAAGAAGGAAACAGCTGCTCTTAGCTTCCGGCATCAAAACAGCTGCAGCCCTATGACCCGGAAGTGTTCCCATCTTGCGT